ACAGAAAAGGTGATTTAGAGCTATGCTGTCGATTTGCTTGCTTTAAATGTTCAGTGTTTTTGATGAGAAAAGCCTAGTTTTGCTCAACTGTGCATAACACATAATGGCTACTCATTCCTTATTGTTTTGTGGGTGAGTGGTTGGCAAAGGTTAAATGTTTACACCTATAGAGTAGAAGGCATTACTGATTTTTAACCTGATTTTTAAAAAGGGAGGAAGGACAGGTCATTTGTGCACATAAACTGAGGAAAGAGTAGTCTGTCTGTTTTAAGGGGATGAAGGAAAATGTACTGTCTGAGACCCTGGCCTCGCTGAAATCTATGGGAGTTTTCACTTCAGTGCAGCCATTGTATTCAACACCAATCTAGAAAGTAATATTATTTTGTAATGCTCAGAACCTGTCTCTCTGAGCTGTGGAGGCTCCCCCTGAAACATTTGGTATCTTAATAGGGTCTATGATTAGAGCTGTGATGTAGTGTGTGTTTACACTGCCAGACAAAGGAAAGGGGAAAAAATTCCCTTTAGTGTGGACTCCGGTTGGTAGAAATATAGGGCTATGTACTGAGATTCAGTGAGAAGGACACCTCAGCTGATCAGAGTGTAGCTCAAGGTCCAGTGTGTTTCAGCAGCAGATGCAGCCCTGGGAACTACAAGTTGTGGACTACAAACTGTAGCATGTTGGCAGAACTTCCTGGTTCCTGCCAGGAAGTTCCCTGTGCTCCTGCCAGCAGGAAGTTTTTCAGCACGATCACTGGCTGGGAGTGTGGGGCAAGCAAGCAGAGGAGTTTGCTGGCTGAAATCTTGTCCCGCGTTTCTTTACAGGTAGGACCAAAGAGGGCTTGAAGAGCACCCTAAAAAAGGAGTATAAATGGTGCAAAAGGAAAACATTGGTGTGTTTGTTGGGGAGGGGGGTTAGTTATTGTGAGGGGTATGGCATGTTTGTGAAAGGGCTGTGATAGCACAAAGTCCCCTCTGCCCTTGCCCCAGAGTCACAACACTGACTGAATGCAGGAGCAGGAGGCAGGTGAGCAGAGGAAAAGCTGGTGGACTGCAGTCCTGTTTTGTGTTCCTTTACCGAATAAAGCCTTGCTCCTGGTGGTTTGTCTGAGTGGGTCTAGTCTGAGGTGAGTGCACACTGACACACAATTAGGGTTGCCAGGTGTCCGATACTGACCCGGACAGTCCGGTATTTTCGCCCCCTGTCCAGGAAAAAAAATCAGAAAATACCGGACATTTAAGGTATGCGGTATTTTCTGATTTTTTTTTTCCTGGCCAGGAAGCGAAAATACCAGACACCTGGCAACCCTAGCACCCGGGCCCAGGCCCAGCACGCGGCCTCCCCCCTCCCGCCCTCGGTCCCCCCCCGACACTCCCAGCCTCCTGCCCCCGGTCTTAGTGCTCAACCTCTCCCCTGTTCCTATCTCTATTCTACTATTCTAAGTCTGCACTCACTCTGAAAGGGGCCATGCTGTTTTATTTATTTATTTATTTATTTTGCTCAACAACTTTGCCTCCCCCCCCACACACACTTTTTTTTTCCTCAACAGAATTTTTTCCCCAATTTTTTTTTGGGGGGGGGAGGCGGGAAGGAGGAGGGTGTTCGGTATTTTTGGTTCAACCATCTGGCAACCCTACACACAATCCTGGGCACCTGGAGGTGCCTCAGGCCCACTTCCCAAAGCTGTGTAAAAAAGCCAAAGGCCAGCTTATCCTGTCTTGAACAGTCTCGTGCTAGGGGTTACAATAGGCTTCCACACTGTTTGCCAAAGCACTTGGGAGGGGCTGGGTTGTTGGCCCCCCCCCCCCCCCCCCCATTCC